AGTAAACCCAAAGCGTCACTCTGTAGTCACACACAGGTGCAGGACTGACATGAGGAATAAGGTCCTTCCCGTGGAGGTCTCTAGCAGGTGAGATAATGAGCATTTGAGATAATGAGCAATTACATTTAAATAAGACTGCCCACTGCCAGGAACCCCATCTCCAAACAGATGCTCATAATACCATCTCTTTTCAGTTAGAACTGTCTGAGAATCCTCTTTCATTGAAATCGAGGAGATTGTGATTCATAGCCCTGTTGAACCAAATATCAAGTAAAGTCTTTCCTTAAACAAAGGATGGGCAGTATTTCTAATGACTTTTGCAGGTGAACTTTGATGATATCAACACTCAGATTTTCACTTGGGTTTAAAAAGCTGTATGAGGAGCCTTCCTCTTTCTTCATACGTAGAACCCAACTGATGACAATCACCAAAATTCCACTCAACCTGTGCATCTGCCCTATGTCCTCTGTACATATACTCTGCTTCCCCAGGAATATTCTGGCTGGTTTTATCCAAGATATCCAGAGCAGGCTTTTGCCAGTACATGCCACCTTGGCACGTGTGGTTACATGTATCGAGGCCTGGTGGGCTGAGAGAGAAACTTACCATTACCTTAATTAATGAAGATTACCCAGATTTGGGTCATCCAGAAATAACTTTTTTTTTTTAACTGAGACACCTGTCTTAAAGCAGGGTGAACATGCAGTGACAGAGTTTTGTCTAATGAAGCCAGCCAGCCCCTCCTTGTCATAGGTTAACCCCAGGCTCCTAGCCATGCCTCCTCGCAGGACAGAAGCCCTCAAGTGATCCCATTTATTCTATACATTTCAACCACATGAACTCTGCATATATAATTAAATTTGGCCTTGTTCACCTACTGATCTGCTTGATGTTAATTTCCTTCAGCAGCAGAAGAAGAACCCAGAAGAATAGGGGAGTAATCTCAGCACTGTTAAAGCACTGACCACCTCTGGGCTATGGTGTATTTGGTAAGGTGCAGAGGATTGGATGTGATCTGGCAAAGAAGACATGGTGGCCGCAGGCCATGGAAAAGCCAGGTCATGAGCCCGGAGCATACGCTTATAGGAGAGCAGGGAGTAACAGAGGCAGGAGAGCATGGAGGAGGGGAAAAAATCAAGGACCACGTTGTGGAGAAAAACATCTGCCAACCCATGAGGAGGACAAGATGTAGATGAAGAAGAAAGGGACTCTGGGAAGAGAAATTGAAGCAGCAGAGATAACAATATTTATGGCGACTTCAGGAAACAAACGGGGAGAGTGAAGAAAGCACAAGAAATAAGGTCAACTGAATGCTGAGTTGATTTTTTTTTCAAGATTTAATAAGAAATTTGACTCAATATCCTGTCTTCTCCAGTCCCTCACGACTGGTGTGTGCATTTGGGGAAAGACTTGATGAAGGTGGGGATACAGTGTAGACCTTTGAATTCTAACAAAGAGAGAAGCCAAACCCAGCATCATCATTAATTTACAAAATTAGAGAGCTCTTGGGCGCTCTGTATTTTTATGGTTACCTTGCAGCTATTTCAGGACTTAGCTCACATGAGGTCGATCCCAGTAACCAATAGTGTTTTGCATCATTCTATCCCAACTCAACCCTAACCCTTATATTCTAATGGAAGCAATAATGTTTAAAGGAATTTGATATATATTGTATTAATGAAACACGATAAACTAGTTAGGTTGATTTTGACTTACAGTTTTATACTTCAAAAGATCTCCTTTAAATGTCTACTGGTGTATTGAAAACTTACACCAAAATTGCCAGGTGGTAATTTTTTCAGAAAGAGTTACAGTTACTAAAATGTGTAAGATTCAATAAAACAAACTTTTAAAACAAGTATTTCCTAAAGCGATGTTAATCTTTGTCTGTCGTCAAAAATTCCAAGCTTAGAGCTGAAGGAGGAAACTGCAAGTGAGAGGGACCTGAGTGCCTTGTATAGAATGACAGATGATGACTTACAATTTTTAAAGCAGTTTCTGAATACTCCTTATTTTGAGGAGTTTGTCTCATATTGATGCTAACTACAATCAGTGATTTTGATATAGGTATTCTTTCTGCTTTATAACTTTGACACAGACATTCAACCACGAAATATCTCAGGCAGATTCTATCACAGAAGGGTATTTTCTTTTTTTTTTTCTAGAATATTTCACTGGACTGGCAACATTACCACCATCTTATTTTTTACTTACCTTCAAGATTTTACAATAAGTAAAAATACTCCAGTTTTAGAAAATTGGGAAGACATCGGCCATGAGAAATGAAATCTTGCTCTTTAGTAGGAAACATGATGTCAAGTCTGCAGCTCTGATTCCTTGGCAAGAATAATGACTTTCTGCCACTTGATGAAATTCAAATACCAGTGGTTCAACTTGCAAAATATCACAAAGCTTGTAACTGTAATGCATTGGCACCAAAGACTAACTCTTGGGTATAGAAACAACCCATGAACAAATAGAGGTTAAGCACAAATAAATTAAGGTCAAGACGTACATTGCACCACTTGTCTGAGGGAAACTAAGTGAACATTTCAATTATTCATGAATGAACCACTGAGTTAAGATATTCTACAACTGCTCGATACAAGGAAAGTCTACTCATGGCTTTACAGTAGGGTAAGCAAAGTCATCATCCCAAAAGCAGGTGTCGTTGGCACAGATCTCTCATTGGTCACCTGCACTATCACTGAGGGACTGTGCTGGTGTCCCCTTAGAGGGCACAGAAGGTGTCACAGCAACGACAGTGACAGCTAAGTCCTTGCTGCTAGTCTATCAATCCATGCTGCTGTGCCCACATTGGTACCTACCCTGAGATATAACACTGAACTTGATGAGTAAATTATAATTCAGTGGACTCTTAAAGTCATTGTCAGTTCACAGAGCCTTTTCTGCTTGGCATAAAGTTTTATTCTGACTTTCTGTTAATTCATCTACATCACATGGTATAAAATGCTGGGAAAGATTCATTTCTTTTTTGTTGTTGTTGTTACGATTTATTTGTGCATACAGAACTGTGGTACAGGCCAGAGGCTCAGGGGCAGCGAGAGGCTTCACCAGAGACAGAGTGGGGAGCAGAACAG